CTCTCCCCACCCCCCGCCATATGTTCAGCTGTTTTGTTTCTTAAATTCCACATATGAGCAAAATCATATGGCATTTATCATTCTCTGATTTATTTTGCTTAGCATCATATACTCTAGCTCCATCCACAGTGTTGCAAATGACAAAGTCAATGCTTCTTTGCAGTGGACATTTTTGTAGTCAAAGCTTAAGTCAGGCACCTGCATAAAAAGAAAAAACAACCTGTCAGGGTTTACAGCACAGAAACAGAATTTCCTCTAAAGCCTCAAGAAAGGAATACAGTCCTGCTGACACCTTGATCTTAGGCCGGTGAGACCTGTGATTGACATCTGATGTGTTGTTGTTTTTTTTCCCAGCAATTAAGTTTGTGGTAATTTGTTACAGCAGCAATAGAAAATTCATGCAATTCCTTTAACCCATTTTCTTTCTTTCTTTTTTTTTTAATGTTTTCATCTTTATTTATTTTTGAAAGAGACAGAAAGAGACAGAGTGAAAGCAGAGTAGGAGCAGAGAGAGAGGGAGACACAGAGTCTGAAACAGTCTCCAGGCCCCAAGCTGTCAACACAGAGCCCAACATGGGGCTCAACCCCACAAATTGTGAGATCATGACCTGAGCTGAAGTCGGACACTTAACCGAATGAGCCACCCAGGTGCCCCTAATGCATTTTCTAATTGGATTATTTTTAAATGTTGAGTTTTGGGAGTTCTTTATAAGGTCTAGGTTTTAGTTCTTTCCTGGATTTGTGGTTTGCAAACATTTTACCCTAGTCTACAGCTAGTTTTATTTTCATCCTTTTCAGTCTTCTGGAGAGCAAAAGTTTTTAATTTTGATAAAGTTCTACTTATCAACTTTTCCTTTATGGATCATAATTTTGATGTCAAGTCTAAGAATTATGCTTCACCATACGTCCTGAATATTTTCCTCTATTTTTCTAATTATTTAAAAGATTGTGGTAAAATACACATAACAATTTACTATTTCAGCCACTTTTTAAGTGTACAATAAGGTGATATTTATTGTAATTAGAAAGTTTTCCTCTGTTCTCTGCATTGCTTGTATCAAATTGCTTTTTTTGTTGTTGGTTTGTTCATTTTGGTCCCTGCCTTTCAGCCTAAAGATTTTCTTCAAATGGGTAGTGATTTCTGTTCATTTCTAAGGAACTAAAACCAAAAGCTGATTGGAAGTTTTAGGTATACAGGTGGGGTTTGTTGATATTTGGTCTTCACTGTAGGATGATGTGGTTGGTCATCTCAATGGAGATCCCTAACTGTTGGTACCTATAGGCCTGATTTCTTCAGCTGGTCAATTTACCCAGAGAGAAGTCCTACAGTCTTTGGCTGTCAGCTCTTTTCATGGTCCTACTTTGTATAGTTAAGCACAAAAACAAAGTTTTTCGTCTGACTGTTCTAAGAGTTGAGGAAAGGTGGAGGTCAGTGAGTTGTGGCAAAGTTGGTAAGTCTTAATAGATGATGTGTGACATGGGATTAGCTCTGAAAGACAAATAGGTTGGCCAGAAACTGAGGTGAGAGGGAATCAAATTGAATGGGTAATTAAATGTCGTAGTTTACAGAGGTGAGTAATCACTTTCAGCTGATAGTGTGGTATAGCTGACTAGGACATATACCAGCAATGAAGTCTCTAATTTTAGCCATAAAGCAGCTTGTGACTTTGGCAAATCATTAATCTCCTAAGAGACTCAATGTCTTCAAATGAAAACATGAGGAGACTACTGCTAAAGTCTCGGCCAGGTCTAAATTTGCTTTAAGATACTTCCTAAGATTCTTTTACATCAGATGACTTTTTGAGTATAAGTTATAATTAGGGAATGACTATATAGTTTATGGGAGTGAACTTAGGAACTATAAAATTACTCACTCCCATGAAAACAGTAATTATTTTAAGTTATAGGGAACACCATAACTTTATTTATATTAAATTTATATTCATGCTTCTTTTAACAACATGTCCAATTGTTTCATGTATGTATACTTTGATGTTTTTCTTCTAATATAGTAAAATACTAAAACAAGAAACAAACTACACTGAAATCCTGATCTTGTTTCTTCCCTTTGCATTTAGACAGAGGACATCACTGAAGAAGGAAAATGGTCTCTTTTCTCTTGAATGTAAAGCATAACAGTGCCATTTGTAAATAGAGAATTGAGTTAGTCTGTTAGCCCAGGCTTAGTATCTACTGTGGGTCAGGCATTTGTGCCAGGGCTGGTGTTCATAACAAAGAAAAGCATCGTCCACACTTTCTATTAGTTTACAGTGTAGCAGGCAAACAAAGGCAGGTCGGTAAACCAAGTATTTTACAGTGTGATACCATGGGAGTGCAAACATGGGTCCCCTGTAATTGATGTCTGCTTTGGCTTGCCCAGCATCCACTTTCCTTTTTTCCTAGAATGTTTCCTGAATTCTTCTCTGGGAATTACCCTTCCTCTCATTCTCTGCCCTTTGGAGCAGTGGGCATGTGAGTCAAATCTGGCCAATCAAAACATCATATATACTTTGGGCTGCAGTGATTGGTTTAGGGATGGTCCCAGGACCCAAGCTAAGCCAATCTGCTATTGTTACAAGGAATCTTGGGACACAGCATGGTATTCAGGGAGCAACAGATATTTGACTGTGGTTGGAAAATTGGGTCTGAGTGGGAAGAGTTGGGAAATAAAGCTAAAATGGTAAGCAAGACAAGTTTATGAAGTGCCTTTTCCGTTATGCTGGAGAATTTAGACCTTTTCTTAGAGATGGAAAGCCATTAAGGGATTTTAAGCAGGGAGTTGACTTAATCACATTTATGCTTTGGAAAGGTTAACCTGCTGGGGTTATGAATGACGGATTAGGGGGAAGAAAGTGAATGGATTAAGATGCCACAGTAGTTGTTCAAACAAGTAACCGGAGACCTCAACTGTAGGAGTGGTAGTGGGAATAGGAAGGTGACCCAATGGGGATGTTTGCCATGAGCTCTCTAGAAGACACATCAGAACTGATAGCAACACTTTCCTGGAGAAATTGTGTTCTGGCTGCATCTCTGAGTAAATGGTAGTAAAAGCAAAATGTAAGACTGTGCTTCTTAAAAGTTTAATGTGCACACAGATCATCTGGAAATCTTGTGAAAATGCAGATTTTGATTCAGTAGCTCTGGGGTGGGACCTGAGATTCTGCATTTCTAACAAGCTTCCAGCTGCTGCAGGTCTGCAGACTACATTTTGAGGAGCAAAGATTTAGGATTTTTTGAGGTATGATGGGCCATTCAAGTAAAAGGGTCCAGCAGGCAGCAGGTGTTGGGCCTAGACTTTAGGAAAGAGTGAGAGAGTTGGGCTGGAGATATTTCAGAGTCATTAGCACATAGGATGTGTGATGTCAGAATATAAAGATAATGGTCTAGGAATAGTGCTTGGAAAAAACTAAAAGAAGCCCAAGGATAGCCCATGGGTAGTGCCAGCATTTATGGGGCATCTAGAGGATGGGGCTTAAAAACACGGAAGTAGCAGATGAAACTAGGATGCCAAGTTTTCAATGAGAAGGCTTTAATTCCCAAATTTATTATATAAATAGTAGCTGCCACTTATTGGGTATTCTATTCTAGGCACTGTACTAAGGGCTTAACCTTTTCTCCAAAAGACAAGGTTTAAGAAAAGTCATATTAAAAAATTCCTCTAACCACACGCCATTACTCTGCACAGGTGGAAAGTTTAACGTGGGTCACTATTAATGATCTGCACACCATACCAAGGATGGTATGAAGGTTCTAGGGGTCTCACTCAGTTCAACACTTTCAGGAAAGGCCTCAAGTCTTCACTCAATGTTGATTATTGCTAATATGCTTACTTCCTCAGCTCATTTATCCCTTGGCAGTGAGCTGCCTTGCTGATTCAATGACAAGCTTAGGCATGGGGTCTCGGCCATGGTTGGAATCTCTGATGCCTCATGGACAGCCTCCTTAAGGGAAACTATACATCTATTCCTTTGAAGGTCTTGACACCTTCATCACAAGATTCCTGATATTCACAGAACTTTCAACCCTCTTTTTCTCTTATTCCCTTTGGTTGACACTTACTCGCCTAACCTCACAAGTCTCTAACCTCTCTTCAGAGTCTGGAGAGAGAAGTATCTCCTACCTCAGTGGGTACAGGTGTTTTGATACAAGGGGACCATTTATTCTGCCCTGGGGCAAGGAAAGTCCCAGAGCTATCAGGAGTAGTATCCAATCATCCTGTGGCATTTCCTCTGCCGCACCCCCCGCATTCTTTTACAGCACTGAGAACAAAACAATGAACATCTTAATATCTCAACAAATCGTCGTAACACACAAGTACTGTCCCATGAGATCCCTACAACCACTCCATGGGTAACTCTTATTCTACATCCTGAAGCTTGGATGAATTTAGAAACTTGTGTCAAGTGACACAGCTATCAACTGTGGAGGAACTATGAGGTATGTGATTTCGATTTTAGAGCAACAAGGGTGTGGTATTATCGCAATTCCTATCAAAATACCTTACTCAGAAGGTCATATGTGAGTCACAGTGAGCAGACCCAAATCCAGAAACTTCACATACAGAAGGGGAATGTGCCTGCGTGTGGGATTCCTTCAACCTTCGCCACAGCCCTACTATCCCGGTTTTCAGATGAGAAACAGAAGCTGAAGGTGTGACCTACTCATGGCCACAAAGCCAGGGCCACGTTTGTTGGTTCCCAATATGTGTTCTTCCCATCATACCAAACAGAAGTGGCTTGTGAGTGGCAAACCCACTGCAAAAACACTTCAATTTAGGTTCCCTTCTTGGAAAAATAAATTGGCACATGCGCGGAACGCACCAGAGACCCCGCCCTAGCGGCCTCTGAGATCTACTCAGTACGCCTGCGTCAGGCTGTTCCCCCCCCCCCCCCCCCCCCCCCCCCCCCCCCCCCCCGCCCCTTGGCTCGGCGCGGTTCCCGCCACTCTCCGCCCCTTTCCCGCCCGGATATCAGCCTAGTTTTGGCGGATGTTGTTGTGAATCCGAGAGACACGTGAGGCTCTGCGACGTCATCACCAGCACGCGAAGGAAAAATGGCGGCGGCGGGGGTTGTGAGCGGGAAGGTAAGTAACGGCCGCGGCGAACGCCCCTACTTCTCTCTGGGATGGCGTGCTTTGTTGCTTGGAGGCCGGTCGGGGAGGGACGCGAAGGCCATTCTGTAGCTGGAACAGCGTGTGGCGGGTGTAAGAGGAGAGGACTTGGTCGTGTCAGCTGTTTTCTCGAGCTTGCCGGCTCAGTCCGTGAATTAGAGACCGGCTCCGGCTCCAGGGCCAGCTAGGCCTCGGCTCTGTTCTCCCCTGCACTGCTCCGGAGCAGGGGGACGTTTATTTGTATTGCCTAAGGAACGGGTAGTTGCGTCGTTCCTTTCTTTTTTTGTGGCTCCCGTTTTTCCTGACTCTGTATTTTTTTAAATCTACTCTTCTGACGCCAGCATTTTTATTTTTCTTCCTTTGAGGCGTTAATCTAACTTGCTCCTGTCTTTCTCTGCTTCACTCTGGGGAAGGCATCTGTGTCCCCTTCGGATGGAGCTGAAAACAGGTGCTGTGCAGCTGGGCACTTAGAAGAAGAGAGTGTGTTGGATTCATTTGACCAGGCTGCCGCGTTGGCTGGTGGTTGTGAGCAGCAGGGTATGTTTGCTCTCGGGGAGCAGGAGATTTACACCATCCCACGCATGTCTACGAAGGCGTTAGTTAAGGTGTTTATTTCCTAGGCGCCTCTACGGTGTTCTCGTGAAAGTATCTGTCATGCTGTCGTAACCCCCTCCTGGTGCGTTAGGAACAGGATTAGGTGCGGAGGAGATTTCGTTGTATAGGGCATATACACGTTCCGAGGGCACATTTTAAAGCCTGTTATTTAGGACTGTCAGGACATGCCACAGGCTGCATTTCCCACTGCGGGAGTATTTCGTAAACAGTTGGGTCTGGTGATGACTCATCGAACACTAAAGACGACGTATTTACTTGTCGCCGATAGCTTCCTATGTTCCTTGAGTTTCAGTCATTTTCTCTATGCTGCTCCTTTGCATTTTGAATTATTTTGCCCATTTTGAATTATTTGGCAGCGTTTGTGGTTTGGTGTATGCACTACTAGGCTTGGCAGAACGACACAGTTGGTCTTGGTTTTTTACTGTTACTTTGAAGTGTGACCTTGGGAAACTGAGCGTGCGTGACTTCTCCGTCCTTCCTATTTTTTATTTCCAGAATAGTGGTGGTGCCACTTTATCGTTGCATAGGAAGTGTTTAGGATTACATGAAATAAAAAAGCATTGAGACAGATTTCATGCTTCTGCATATTGGCTATTTTAAATGGTAGATTGGTCGTACTTTTTGGATTATTCATGCTCTTTGATTACTGTGTTAGTTTTTAAGTCTTCATGGTGGATGCTGATTTTCTTTTTGACTCATTACATATTTGAAAGTTATCCTCCTTAATTTTCTGTTTGGGCTGATCCAGTCTAGGTCTTTTCAAGAAGGGATCCTTTCTGTTTGAACTACACTTCCTTCTTTCAGGTGTGGATTGATTTTGAGAGAAACCTTGAGGTGAAGAAACCCAGTTGTGAAATGTAAGGCTTTTTTCATCCTTTCCTTCCAGCCACTCTCTTTCATAATATGACTTAAAGTTAGTCTTTTATTTCATAACTCTACTTCATCACCTGGTTTTTCTCATTGCAAATTGACCCCCATTACCATCATTCCATCTAAACCATTTTTCAATGCCAAAAACTGCCCCTCTCCTAAATAATACTGTCATGACCAGCAGAACCCACTTATTCTTCCCTCAGTAAGTTCGGATCTAGTTTAATGGTATCATTGTTCATGGGTTACATGTGAAACAAACTTGGAGACATCCATTTCAATAACAACAATTAATCAAGAACCAAGTCTTACCAGTGTAAAGAGATTTCTGAAATTTCTGCATCCTCTTCATTTTCTGTGCTTAGTTGTTTTAAACAGTCTGCCTCTAGTCTTGAGTTCTTAGCTGATTTTTCTCCTTGTTTGCAGTTTCTTTGCCCACAATCCCCTCTACACTACCGCTGGAGGTTTTCTTTTCTAATGTACAAATCTGAATGTACCAAGCTGATCGTTTCTAGCTTTAAAAAAACAAAATCTTTTTTTTAAACATTTATTCATTTTTGAGAGACAGAGGGAACTGTCAGCACAGAGCCCATCATGGGATTTGAACCCACGAACCATTAGATCGTGACCAGAAATGAAGTTGGATGCTTAACTGAGTCGCCCAGGCGCCCCCCCCCCCCGTTTTTTTTAAATTTAAAAAACTTTAACGAATAAAATCTTTGCCCCTGCCCTCATTAAAGTAATACTGAAGGCTGCTTAACATGGCATAAAAGGCCGTGTTCCCAGGCACCTAAGGTGTCAGCACATAGCCTGGAGCCTGCTTTGGATTCTGTGTCTCCCTCTCTTTCTGCCCCTCTGCTGCTTATGCTCTGTCTCTCTCTCTCAAAAGTAAACGTTAACAACAACAACACCAAAAAGGCCATGTTCCCTTCCTGGCTTTCTGCTTCCCTACTTTCCAGTCTTGTTCCTTTGGAACATGTGTGTGTGTATTTAAGAGAGTGAGTGTATATATGTATATGTGTATTTTTATGTGTATTTCTTTATTCCCACACCCCTCTTTTCCCCCAACAAAGGTTCAGCTAAGACCTTTCTAGCTTAGAAACCTCGGGCAGTGGATATTAACCAAGATTCACAGGAACCACAGGTGGTACTTAAAAAAATACAGATACTGGACCAAAGCCCAGCTTTATTGAATTAGAATTTCTCACTGTTGAGATGTAGGATGTGGACTAACTTCTAACAGTTCTGTTCTGCTTCTTTGTACTTTGAGTGTAGGAAGTGATAGAGGAAGTTAATCTTTGTCATATGGAGAGGCATTAACCATTAAGAGTTTGGATTCTAGACCCAAACCAGTTTCAGAAACTAACTTCATACTTACTAGTGATTTCAGTCAAATTACATAAACTTTCTGTGCTTCAGTCTCTTCGTTTGTAATATGGGATGATATAGTACCTACTCTGCTGGATTGTGAGGAGGATCAATAAGTAAGTATATTAGAACAAAGTTTGGCACATGGTAGATGCTGTGTGTTATTTGTAATCTCAGTTTCTCTGCAAGTCATTGTTTGGGTTATGGCAGAATCTTAAAGGTTTATAATACGGGTTTTGATATGGGTATAAGCTTCATTTTTGAAGTTAGCTCTTGTTCTAAATCTCATTGTTACTTTAGAAATTGAAAAATACCTGTTTTAGAAATCATGTAGTTTTGATGAATGAAAAATCATCACAGTAGGACAGTGGTTAAGGAGATGGAGCCTGATTGGGTTCAAACCCTGGCTCCAGTGCTTTATGGCTGTGTTACCTTGGGTAGATTTCTTAACTTCCCTGTGCCCGTTTTTCTCATTTGTAAATGAGGGATAATACTATTTCCATTGTGGAATTAAAATTATAAAATTATAAAAATTATAAAAATGGTTAATATTTGCAAAGCATTTAGAATAGTTCCTGGTGTCAAGTAAGTACTGTTAGCTGCTGTTATACTATAGTTAAAGAAAATCTTTCAGACTCTTTAAAAATTATAAAGTTATTATTGGTTAGGATATAATTGAATGTTGATTTCTGCTGCCATTTTCCGCAAAGATTTAAGCAATATATTTAAGTAAAATGAATTAGAAAAAGAAGGTAAAAGGGAAGTAAATAAGGATAAGAAAGGTAAATGGAACTGGAAGTACTACGATTATTAAATAAACTGTATGCTGGAATGGGCCACAATTGGATGATAGATCCCTGGTAAAATAAAGCCAAAAGCAAAATCCCAGAAAAGTAGTTTCTAAAGGTAGAGCATAGAAAAGAGTCTCCTGTAGGTTCTTTTTACTATATAATATAATGTATGTACTTAAATGGCATATTGTATCCTTTTGGTAAGAAAAAAGGACCCTATAATACCCCTAGTATGCTGATGGTTTTATACCAGTGGGTAATTCAGTAAATACAGGGTACCAATTTGATGTCTTCTGGTCTCTGATAATTTGACTAAATCCAAGGGTATATGATACATATATTGCATATATATTTTAGCTGAGCTTTTGAAAGTGGGTTGGAGTGTGATTATAAACCCAGATAGTTCTTAAGAGTTCAGTTATTATTAATTATTATTATTATTTTTACTACCTGTAGGTAAGTTTTAACGTCAACCAAATAAGGAAAGTGACTTTTCTTTTATGAGTATCGAGGGAAGAAAGAGGGACACTGCATGTAAAGACCATCCTGTATCTTCTATAACTGATGGACAGAATTGAATTAATGGAATGAGTTAAATTTATCTATCACAGAGAAGGCGGGAGAAAGAAGATAGCCTGAAATAATTTTTGGCTTTAGACCCACTTCCCTGATGGTTAAGGTTTACTTTCATTTATTCAGCAAATGTTTATTTATTAAGCACCTGATTTGTTCCAGGCACTATATTAGGCATTGGCGATATATCAGATATCCCCTTACCTTCTATCTTGTAGACTTCAGTTCTTTAGAAGAATATTCACTAGCACCCATCCCTTTATCTTGTCTAAATAAATGCAAAATGAATTGCAGGTCCTTGAAGGAGGTGCTATTTTTAGTATACGTATTCTGAAGACCAGCAAACTGGCTAACCATTAGGGCAGGACCTGAAATGTTTCAGCTGCCTAGATTCTGGCACAAAGCACATCTTTGATGAGTAGAAACAAGCAAGAAGGTAGAGAAAATGATTGGGGACTAGAGTGGGAGAGATGGATTACTAAGACTACTCTTCTTTTGGCGTTAAAAAGTCTTATTTTAGTACATTTGGGTTTCACTCGGTTTCTACTGTGATTGTTTCAGAATTTAGTTGTGTTGAAAATAACTTCAGGAGCACCTGGGTGGCTCTGTCGGTTGAGTGTCTGACTCTTGGTTTTGGCTCAGGTCATGATCCTAGGGTCGAGCCCTACATTGGGCTCCACACTCAGCATGGCGCCAGCTTGGGATTCTCTCTCTCCCTCTCTCTCTCTCTCACATAAATACAGTGAAAAAAAATTG